GCAGTCGTTCAAAGCACACTTTGGACAATTTCGAGGGCACACTCGTCTTTTTTAGGTTCATAACCCATCCAACCGAGTGTTCACTGAACACAGCCGACCTAATTTATGTTTCTGGTCTCTCCGTTAGAGATTTCGAAGAAGAATTGGCTGACCTGAAGGCCACAGACATGTGAGTGAATAAGTTTAAGTCACTCAATGAAGATTTGGAAAGAATCGCACGACATAAAGCAAGGTTTGCAAGCAAGCACATGAGGACAGAAATTTAAAAAAATGTCAACCCGAAGACCAGGTGATAATCAAAACTTGGAACAAGCTTCCGGTCACATACCACACACTGCAGCGTGTGAGTATTGCCGTATTGACCCTGTTTGGATCTACCTATGCATGTGAGCAGTTATTCTCGCATCTTACATATATCAAGTGCACCCTATGATCACGTCTGACGGTTGAAAGCCTCAACGCTTGCATGAAGCTTAACCTCGCCACCTACAGACCAGACTATAAAATCATCAGCGAATCTATGCAAAACCAGAAGTCACGTTAACAATGAGTATTATAAGAACATTATTTAAAAGAATAAATCCAGGCGCTTATCATACTCGCATTTAATTGAATTTTATCTTAAAATATACTATACGGCTCTCACTGAAATACATTTCCAAATATTTGCTTTCTTAGCTCTCTGGATTAAAAACGTTGCCGACCCCTGGTCTAGACACCGACATTTTGACCGCAACTTCCCCCAGCCCTCCCCCACCTGCCCTGACAGCAACAACACTACATCTGTCCACCAACCGGCATGGTTTTTTCATTTAATTACCATATAAATGTAAAGGCCTGACGAGAATTTATCGAATACAAATGCATTTTCGCCAATTTATCTTCAGAAATTGGGTTGTTTTCAGGAATGTGATAATTTTTGCCAAGTTTACCATATGCAGTAAACTCTAAAGATATTGGGGTTATGTTCTGGGGTGTCCGGCAATCAATGATTGCTGCATCGAAGTGGCGACATTTTTACCAGTTAACTCAATTCCCTTTTAATAGAGGAATCACACATTTTAATTTGTCGAGTCGTAAAAAGTCAGATTTGGACCGTATTTGATCATTATGGTAATTGCAAATGTGAACAACTTACGAGGCACCGATTATTATACTGACTAGAAGGGCTTTGATATGCCTCGAATTTTATCTTAAGTGTTGGCTTTCGATAACTTAACTTTCACAGGATCCCTAAATGTTGTAGTTTATTGTTCCACGATATGAATAAGCCAAGAATATACCGAATTTATGGCAAGCTGGTCTGTCTATTACTCCGTTATTAACCTCGTAGAACCTTATTGGGTCTCCCATCTGGGATACCGGTGCTATTCGAAGATTTTCGAGTTACAAACGTCTAGTGAGCAAACGAGAACTATATCGAGTGATTCTTGGATTTGTATGTACAACATATTAAAGCACTATGTGTTCAAAGTTAACGAAATCCTTCATTCTTTTAACTAGAAGCCTGGAACGAACGCATAACGCTAGAAGACCGAAAATTTGCAAGTTTGCTTTCTCGCGCTAGTTTTAGAGAATTATTCTGATCCCCACATGCAGAGGCCAACTAGTATGTCCGTTTCTACCAACTAGTAGGTCTGAACTCGTCTGTTAAAAAGGACCATGAGGCTGCTCGGTGAAATAGCACGTGGCGCATGACTGCTATGGTTAAGGTGACATGTGCACGTATGCTTTGGCCAATCGAATTTGACAAATCGATATTTCCCTGTTCAAACGTCTTGCGGCCCTTACACGTCAGTTGAGTGCCACCTTCAACAACACCGCTCTCATGTCGGGTAGATTCGCGGAATATCTTTCGGAATTCAGACAAAAGGAACTGCGTGAAATAGCAAATGCTATTGTAGCACCCGGCAAAGGTATCCTGGCCGCCGATGAGAGCGTATGTAAGTTAACCGCCACCTTTTTT